GATAAGTTTTAACTCTATGCTAAGGATAGCGCCTCTTAATAACGATATCGGCGAAACCTCTGGGAATTTATCAAGTTAATGGTCAATTGCTATAACTTATCATAAATTGTATTGCAGAGGAAGCAAGACTAGGAACGTTCCACAAATATGTTCTGTCGCTCAGAACAAGTTGCGATAACGAGGTCAAGCCAACAGTAGAAAGCGCAATCTGACTGTGACTCAATAAAAGGCCACACTATCTTGGTCTTTATATCTATTATAATAACATTTTAAATCTTACAATAAGAAATTTGCACTCTTTTCTATCGAAAATAATTTAATTGGAAAAGGTCTATGAAAGAAGTTATGTCATTTGTCATTTGAGTTTATTTTGAAGGCTTTTATACTGGCATGATGATGTCTCATCTAGATAATATTAGGCTCACCTCACAAATAAAGTAATTTCCTCGGTTATAAATCTACTGCAGTCTCCCCTTGAAGACCAAGATGGTGTAACCTTTAGTATGGTAACAATTTCTTTTCGTCGTATACAAGTTATTTGACTTTGTTTCCTCAAATTGGTCTTATTGTCAGGCAAGCCTTGAGAGACGCACTTTGTACAAAGTCCATAGTATGCACGATAATTTCCAGAGTCGAACCGTGGACTTGGTACATTCCAAGGGGTATAACCGGCTTTGTAGTCAGCATCGTCAATGAGTCTTGCAATTCTTAGTTCCACATTATAATCTATCCAAGAGACCAGTAAAATCATCCTCTGACCGATTGTCTGCTAAACTGTTGTGGTATCTCTTCTTCTATCAGGATGTATTCACCTATCCTATATCCTGAAAACACGCTTTCTCAATTTCTGACTTGCGCATCCATTCCTTATTCTAATGTGTAATAGGGACGCTTTGATATTGCCTAGGGTAAGAGAAATGCGAACTAATGAGTATAGTCATATTAACAATCCTATGACTTCTCTTCCCAGATGATGTGGAAGTCAGCGGAAAGTGTAAATGGTGACACGAAAAGGGCACATCAGAACCAGATTTTCGAAAGCAAGTCAGAAATAGGAAAAATGAGGGGGTGTTACTAACATATAGGATATGTGAATGCACTAGGACAGAGTAGAAATATCACAACTGTTTAGCAAACAAGTTTTCATAGAATTGACTTTACTTGTCTATGAAAAATTTTCCTGTGGCCCTAAAAATAGCCAGATTCCCAAAAGAGGCCGGCGAAATGCCTGGTAATGTGCCAAGTCAAAATTCAGACCATGGAAATGATCATATGTACTATGGGCTTCGTACAGCATGAGTGCCTCTAGGCCCTCCTGACAATACGGCCAAGTTGAGAAAGAAAAGTCCAATACATTCCGTAAAACGAAAAGAGACCACCACATAACAAAAGCTAAGCTTACTTTCATTTCGAGTAAAAGTGTTGGGTGAAGAGATTCTAAGGTCAGTTCCACCAGAAGACGACGGCGGATTAATCTTAACCAGCTGTCTATTGGCTTTACTGGAAGATTCATGCTGACGCTTTTTGCAAGGTAATCTCCTTTGATTCCAGTGAAAAGGTGCTAAGCTTTCGTTCATCATATGACGAACATCATCAGAGAAAGGTATCATTTCACAACAAAATTCAAGCTAACGAGTCAAGAAAACTCGCCGGCAAATTCTTTGACTCGTTAGCTTGAATTTGGTTGTGACGATGATACCTTGCGCTGATGATGTTCGTCATATGACGGACAAAAGCTTAGCAGCTTTTTACCTGAATCAAAGGAGATTACCTTGAAGACAGCGTAAGCATGAATCTTCCAGTAAGGATAATTGACGGATGGTCAAAAAGAATCCGGCGTCGTCTTCTAATGAAACAGACTTTTAAATCTCTTCACCCAACACTTTTAGTTAAAATGAAAGTAAGCTCAACAATTATGAAGCAAGAGATATCTCGAAACAAAACTTTTATTTGCATATTAAAAGCTACTTAAGCCTGGTATTCATATCCTTGATTATGCGCTTTCCCCTAATATAATATGAAAGTAGTTTATGCCTCTCTTAAACCTTCGTAGTTATTGGCGGTACTAACTCCCTTTAAATGCATTAGCTATTCATAACCTATCAATAAAACTTATATTTTGCATACGTCAAAGATAGCTATCAAAATCTTTCTCATTTTAACTATGATCTTAAAAAATTGTAGAACTTTAGACACTTAATAGTTATAAACCTTTACATACTTTATCTTTATAAACTTATCAGGAGGAGTGATAATGCGGTTTAGAAAAAGCAATTTATATCTACTCATACAGGTATGATGGATCCAGAAGTAAAAAATAGTAAAGTCTTTAGTTAGTGGGAGAGAATCAAACTTCTAGACAACATAAGAATAATTATGGTGCTCATATAAGGTGATTCAGGATCCCAAAGTGCATTATACTCCAGGTTGGACTATAGTTTTGGCCTTGCAAGATCTTAGCAGAACCCTCAGTGGGAAATGAACTAGGGTAGTACAGCTTATTGTCCTCACAAGTTACCATTTACGTCAAGTGCAATAAATGTCCCTGAGTCGCAGGAAAGACGTAAACTTCAGCAAGAACAGACCTTTTAATTATCCAATTTTTGTAATGAGATTTTTGATGGAGAAACTCCTATTCATTATTACATTAGACTACACAACTTGTGTTCCGATTTGGTAGATTTCGAAAGCACCAGCAAATTTTATCATGGGACATGTAAAGTAAAGAAAGACTGATAGTAGGGAATTTGACAATGTTAGGAATAGGGCTTAAGTTTATATAAAAATTTACTACCAATGTTCCGGATTAGCTTTAGACTCATCAGCACCTTTAACGAGATTTTAATACGGTTAATTCAGTTTATGATTTTATTGTGATGCAATAACAGGGCCTGTCGCTAAGATATAAAACGTTTGAGCTCTGTAACGTAATATAAAGTTGGACTCAGGGAGAAAGAAGAAGTCGTATCACCAAGTGTCCTACTTAAATTCAGCTGAATTACAGTGAAGCTAAGAATAAAAAATCAATTATTAAAGCCGGTGCATAATAGCAGAGTCCCAAAACAGCAGATTAAAGCGGAACTTAAGGAAGGAAATATTACCAACTTAGATAGTATATTTGCTGCCTAAAATACCCATAAGCAATTTTATGCTTCAACTTATGATGTGCTCAAAAGATTAGCATGATGATGCGCCAAGCTTTGATTGCTCTACGTGAAATAAAAAGTCGAGATTAGACATACATACTTACGTGGTTTTTGTGCCCAAAGTTATTGAGACATGGATACGAACGTAATGTAACAAAACTAAACATCGTAGTGCAAAAGTACAGGCATATTTCACTGCAGTTCCGACATGCAGCTGTTTAAGTCTAACTTCCATGAGTACTCTTGGGTTACATGGCAGAAATGAATTTTAATTAAGGTTAAGCAAACTTGCATTTACTATGAAAAGAAACGAATTATTTATATTCCGATTCAGTAGGTATTTAGATTATATAGGGACACTTGTGGGAGTGAGGCGTAGATACTAAGAAGATAGACAGAAGAATATACACATTTTGGGAAGCAAGTAATTGGGAGTTTCTGTACACAAATCAGGGCTTCTCAATTCATCGTAAAAACTCAAATACAAGTTATTTATCATATTACGAGACCTGGGGTGATCCTCTTGAATTTTCAAAGCCTACAATATTAGAATATTTAAAATATTTTATTAGAAACAATTTACAAATACCAAGTTTTATTACAAAAATAATTCCACCCTACAAATGGTAAATAGTTTAAGGAAAATTCCTAAAGTGTTACAATAGACTTCTTTGTAATCTATGAATGTATTGTCGACATCCATTTATATATATTGGGGCTCTCCGGGCACATCCATACTAGTGGCCTCTCATACTATGACAAGATATAGTTGCTCGTTTTCCACAGACACTAATCTATAAGGTCACTTGCTAACGCAGGTTTTAAGGAATCAAGTAATAATGGTTGCATCAAGTCCTAAGGTTAGGGTACGGAAGATTGTTAAAATGCTCATTTCTTTTATATTAAATTTAAGGATTTAAATTGGAACAACGCAATTCTCGATATATAATTTTACATGGGATTCAGTAAGTCTTACGTATTCCTTAAAAAACTTGACCTATCCATTGGTGAAAATGATTTTATGCACTTTTGCAAGGGAAATAAACGATTTGTTGTTAAATAGAATATCTCAGGAATCGACAAGGGGACTAAGGGTATCGTGCTGCAGGTTAAATAATACAAGAAAAGAAAATTAAGGTTTATCGACTAGCCTTCGAATACTGAAGGTGACTTTGGGTTATATATATAAAAAATAAAGCGATTTTAATGTATTATTGTTGAATCTATAGACTACAATTAATAATAGTAGCTTCGTAGCTTGATTTTTATTGATCAATATGTTAACTTTCTAATTAATTTTTGAGAAAAAAATCAGGCGAAGGATGTAGACAAATATATAATGCTATTTTAAATGGTGGAATATGAGTTTTTATATGAAACAATGTGAGGTTTATAGCCTTAAAATATTCCAGGCGTGCGGTAAATGTAACAGAAATCCAACAACAATCTTAATAAAATGTGTCACAAAAAAATTATATGATAATAAAATTGCTTACAATCTTTATTTAATAGTAGTTTTACAGTAAAAATAGGTTAAAACAAAAATGTTATTGATGTAAACTTTAATATATTTGTATTAGCTAATGCGCTTTTTTTAAAGCTGCCATCCCCGCTATGTCTGCTCCTCTAAATGTAGTCAACCCTAAGCCCTTCTTGTCCAGCATTACTGGAAAGCAGGTAATCGTCAAACTGAAATGGGGTATGGAATATCGGGGTTATCTGGTTTCAGTGGACAGGTATATGAACCTCCAACTTCATTCTGCAAATGAGTTCATCGATAATTGCCATACAGGGGCACTTGGTGAAATTCTTATAAGATGCAACAACGTTCTTTATATTGCTGAATCAGACGAGGATAAGTCTATGGAGCCTGATATGTAAACTTTGCATTTATTACTATTGGATTTTTAAGCGTACAAAATAAATTTTTACAATCAGCCAGTCTTCTCTTACGGTTGGCGACCAGGGTGCCATAGGAGAAATTTTAAATCAGTATATGGGAAACGAATTTTCTTTATATTCACTTCACTGTAGCATAGATAGATTATTAGCCAGTCTCTCCCTTTTCATGAAAATTTTACTTTGTGCTGTTGCTATCTATCCACATCCGGCGGATTTCCATTTTGTCCCACTTATGTTTTGAGTTATTCTATATCAAGCATCTCGTCTTCACGCTTCTATAAACGAGTCTATGTATTAGTAAATAGTCGGCTTTGTCACTGGCATCTCGTTCTAGCCCTCTGTTCATACCTGAGCTTGGATGGCCTCAATAGCTGAGGTTGCCTCAGGGCTAGGTGTATACAGTGCCTGGCCTACCAACGCTTATGTTCACTACAATGTACTCAAGGATTTTTTCCTTCTTTTTGATGAACTGGAAATTCATAATCTATGTGTGAACAGTATTTCAGCATCTCTTTGGATGCATCAACTAATCAGCTCATTTTTACTTTCACAAATTGTCAGGCTGTCGAATTTAACTGCCTGCCTGTAATTTAAGCAGCGGACATTTGGTTCTCTCCGTAAGTGTCACGGTTCCGAGAGGCTGTTGCGTCGTTTGAGCAGCCAGGCTAGTCATTATTTCATACTTTTCTGGTTTCAAAGCCAATTTATTTGTCGGAGGTAGATTACTAGATTGCAAATTAACATATGAATGTCGAATAAGAATGAAATTTTTACAATCCACAAATTACTAAAGTAAAATCCCTTACTGGGCTTCCCCACACTACCCTTGCCTGAGCATACGTCAAAGGCTCAACTGAAATCTGCGCTTGTCATTGGGCAGACTGATATTTTACATCATATCGGTCGCTGGAATCACTCATAATTATTAGGAGGGACTCCTTGTATAGATCATGCGGGCCTTTATTATACTCATTTTTGATTCCTTATCTTAATAATATTTGATTAGCAAGACTTAATTGATACGCCATCTCATCCCCATAGATGGTTCAATGTTGATCCTAGGATTCTATTGTATGATAATTTTCATGTTTTCTCTCTGAATTCTCAAACTGTCTTCAGGCTTGTCAAACTAAGTCTCCTTGATCGTTAATTTTACGCTATGCCTAACTTTTTAACTCCAAAACTGAATCCAGGCTCATTCAGAAGTTTATCTTGGGAACGTGAGAGTGATTCAAGCTAGAGGTTTATTTCTATTACAAAGACATTGATTGCAAGCCACTGTAATTCATCCTGTTTCTTTTGTTTTTTTTCTTTGCTTTGCAAAGGGATATTGTTTTATTCCATCCTTGCTATCAATCAGTGAATAATATTGAGCCTCAGGCTTATTCGGTCCTCCTTGTGTTCTAAAAATTTCAGCTCTAAAGTCTTGAGAGTTCTACAATTAAATATGTAATGGCTATATCACTTTAATCTAGGCTTATGTCACTTTCATACATTTAAACCTGTCAATAGACTATTCACTTACCAAAGTCTCATGCCATTGGCGAATTTAGTTCACTTTTGGTTCTTTTTGCCTAGAATATACATTATACTGAAGACTTGTCAGAGCAAATGGGCCTCCTCTGAAACAACATATCTCTGTGTAGATGTCTTGGAGCCATGTATATGAATAATTTATTTATATATATTGTCCTAACCTCAAATTTTGCTCACCAATCTCGGCTCCATATTCCCGCTACGCGCCTGCTTGTCCCAGCAATGGTGATTTTTATTTTTATTATTTGTTTCTTAGTGTTCACGGCTAATCCCGCGACCCCCATTCCCACGCGATCTTGCCTTATTTACTAGTCTTGGTTGATCCTTACTTTAAAAAGTATGCACTCGAGAAAAATGTCAAAAATCTATTCTTTATTTTTTTATTATTTTTGGGCTTTTCTTCAGATATGTATCACATAGGTAGATTCTCATTTATTTTGTCTTAAGCACTCGGGTTGCCACTTTAGCACTAAGGCCCAGGCTCACCAGTGACGAATATAATCTTATTTACTATTCTGTCACGGGAGTGCTCATCTAAAATGCTTTGGCCTTTATATCATACATTGCAATTTATAGATTGTCACAAGAACTTGTCCCTTACCATATTCTCTCTTAAACTTCCGATAACTTGAAGGTGAGTGAGATTTTAGCCTATAATTATGCAAAAATACTTCCTTATCCATTACTTCTAATTCTATTAGGTATCCCCATAAGAAATACCTCAAACAGCTTTCATAAGTATTAGTTTCATATTAATGCGGGGTTAAAATAAACGGGAGTTGGCTCCAGTGACCTGCAGGATGGCCTGCGTTTACGTTGGTCCATTAATTCTCTATTACAATCCCGATCACGGTGCATAGGAGATGGACGAAATCAAGAGTGCAGCTAACTTGTAATGAGAAATGCAACATTAAAATTATTCAAAAATAAGGCCTTTTCTACTATCTACTGTTGGTGGATTTGCGATTAGTCAAATACATGCAAATATACACGACATTTGTCATGAATATTAAGAAGACAATTTTTAAAATTCATTATTGCCTAGTTGATTAATCGTTTTAACATCTCCCTTCTGGTCTTCTCTGCTTACATAATATCCACTTCTAGGTTAAAAATCTCCAGCAGGGCTGTTAGCACAATTTATCTAGGTACTTTTGTGTGCCTAGACTGTACATCAATACGTACCGTTAATATTCTGTTGTTTCCAATGTTATGTTTTTTATCCTTTGATAACATTAATTTGAATGTTTCACGGTGTTCGATAGCCTGTCATTTACCTTCTTGAATTTAATACAAGAATTTTGTGAATTTGTGTGTTTCTCAATACTTATTGACTATCAGCCTTAGTGGTTCCCTTTATTTGTGTGTTTTTGCAGATCCGTAGGCTCTTGTCTCATCGTCAATCCATATGTAAATCTGATATGAAAGGGAACTAGCTTTCCTTGAAAATCGGGTTGTCCTTGTCACACTGGGACTCATGACAGTGATACGCCGCACTATGCGAGTTAGATTCCAGTGATGGTAAGACTTAGGCGATGTCGAAATTACAGTCAACCATAGATGAGAATAGCTTTTAGGAAGCAAGGCTTAGTCAAATTAAATGGCACCGTGATGCATCAACTCATTAAGGGACAATGCAAAGATCATTACTTCGTCACCCTGTGACTATGACTTATTCAATCTAGTCATCTTTTGTTTCGGAATATGGCTCACCTCATTGTTTAACCTTGCCCAATTGATAGTATTAAGGTAGGAAATTTGAATTGGTTAAGAGCTGCTGCACCTATTTGCTAAAATAGTTTGAATAATTATATTGGTCCTGCAACCAACTGGGTAATAAATTGAATCATAAAATATGTATCGCCAAATAACAATCGCATTCATCAACCAAAAAAATTAAACTTCATAGACTCTTATTTTAATATTTAAATCGAATGCATGAAGACCACGATGGTGTGGCTTTTGTATGGTCGGGGTCTCCTTTCATTTTATGTTGTTTAATCTTGTTTTCACAACTTGGTCGTATTGACAGGAAGACCTAGAGGAACGCACCTAGCCTCGAGTCGATAGTATTCATGATCATTTTCAGAGTCGGACCGTGGACTTACTAAATTCCCAGACGTTTAGTTGGCATCGTCAATGAGCCTTGCCATTTGTACCACACTACAACTCATCAAATAAACAAGTGAAGTCCATCCTTGTCTAATTGTCTACTAAACAGTTTTTGTCTCCTGCCCTGGGCTATTCTCCTATATTCCTGGTTCAGGTATTCCACTTGACTGCTGCCACTCTATCTGTACTACTCGGGACGCATTCTGCCCCAAGCCTTTGATGGCATGTATACTCCCGCTTCGCTGATTAGGCCGAGAAAATCTGGATTCTCAAGCTGGATGGGAGACTAACTTGAGGCTATAGATCCCGAATAATCCTTATCGTCAAGCCTTTACTTCATGGAGCACGTCTACTGTTAGCCAATCAGCTCTAGTTTGCCCAGCATCTATCGTGCTTATATCCATTATGCCAGGTTTATGACTTCCTATGTCATAGTCACTTATGTGCCAACCCACAAATGCTGTCGTTCTACTTGTTTTGATTAGGATAACTGAAGCTGTCTCCTCTTGGTTTCCGATTGTTTTTATCTGGTCTCCTTGCGAGTTCTTTTCCTGAAATTAAAGAAATCACCTCGATTCATTCGTCATCTTTTTGTTGATCTTACTGTTGCCTGGTCTTTTCCGAGTTTGTTTAGACAACATGCAGTGTTCGCTGATCCTGCATTCTTCAAGTCTCTCTTGGTCAATATATCATTGACCTCTCGAATCCTGCGTTTTCTCGTATTCTCATCATATGCAGCCAGCCTCTGTCGATTTCATGTCCCGTCCGTATAATGTGTTCTGCTATTTAGGATCTTTTCGTATCTATCTTTTTACATACTTTGATGTTTCTCGATTCGTAGCCAATTTTTCTTCCTGTTCCATCAATGTACTTCTGCTCGCAGTTGCCGCATTTGATGCGACAATCTACTGACCGAATGGACAGGAGACTTGAAGAAGGCAGGATCAGCGAAAAATGTCTATTGTCTTTGCCTATTCAAATTCTTAGATGCTCAAACAACAGTAATATCATCGAAGTGACGTCTTTAATTTTAGGAAACGAATTTGCAAGGAGACTAGAAAGGAACAATTTGAAATCAAGAAGATAGATCTTCAGTGATTCTAATCAAAACAAGTAGAATCACAACATTTATGGGTTGGCACATAAGAGTCTATGGCATAGGAAGTCGTAGACCTGGCATAATGGATATAAACACGATAGATGCTGGGCAAGCTAGAGCTGATTGGCTAACAGTAGACGTGCTCCATGAAGTAAAGGCTTGACGATAAGGATTACTCGGGATCTATAACTTCAAGTTAGTCTCCCATCCAGCTTGAGAATCCAGACTTTAT